AAAATAAATATAACATTCCAAGAAAAAAAATTAAAACATCTTTTCTTTTTTGAGAAATTGATAGGTAGAAATATAGGTAAATATAAAATAAATATAGTTTGCTTGTGTTTGTCTGATCAAGAAACAATTAACCATGGACAACTGCTATGTAACTTCCAATTGAGCACTAATGTGAAATTGGTAATTAATTTTTAGCAGTCCATATTTTCTATACCAACTGTTAACTTTTAGATAATTGCAAAGAATTTTAAATTTCAATAACTTATCGTATCATATCATTATTTCGTCTTTTTCATCTAGTCAGAAAAAATGACACAATTTAAATATGTAGGAAAAGTGTTCGTTCGTTAATAAGTTGTTGTTAGCCCCATCTTTGTAAGGGCTATTGAAAATCACAGAAGTAGATATCGTTCAAAAATGAGTGAATTTTTTTCTTGTGTTAGTAGCTGTAAGGGTTTGTATTATTTCTTTGGATCTGTCATACAGAGTTGTTCATTCCTTTAACACGTTCGCTACCACGGGTTAAAATTGTGTATGTTGCCACAGACTAACTTCTTATATTGCGATATTATTATTTATAAACCGAGTTTCACGTACATATTAATGATTATAAGCTAAGAATACACTTTCTGAGAAATTTCGGAGCATTTTTGATCTGACTCATATATGAGACGCCGGTCTATGAGACACGACCTAGCTTGTGATCGAGCGAAGAATAAACCAAGTGTCTCATATATGAGACATCGCAAAAGAGTATATATGCAAAGTACAAAATATATTTGTATCAAAATACAAAGAGAGTAATTCTAAATATCAAAAAACATAACAGAAACAATCAAATCCTTTGGTGAAAAACATAGGACCAAAAAAACACTCGAGAAGATAGTTAGAGCCTTCGTGGTATTCCTGGAAACAATTGTCCACGCAAAGGCCAATCATTTGTCCGTCTTTATCCTTACAAATCTCACAAACGTAAAAAGTCTGTGATTTCTTTTTGTTTGCCGAGCATACTCTACATCTTCTCCGTTTGTCCTGTTTTTTTGGATAATGCTGGTTCCCTGGGGTAGTTTTGGCTTTTTCCTGGGCTTGTTTCAGGAACTCAATTACAATAATCTCTCTAAACTGAAGAAATGACAGCCTTTTTCGATTTAATTTGTTGTACAAATGTGTTGCATTCCATAGGCATATGTCCACGAAATGGAAAAACACTTTCAGGTACCACCTGACAGTTTTCCTGGGAGTAGTGTAATAGGATAACATCTGGTCATTCCTGTCAACTCCAAACTGTCATTTGTCAAAAATCAAGCCGCTTTTCCATAAAACATAAATCAATTTCAAGCGGATAACCAAATGGAAATGGTATTTACCATTTTGGGTTGGTATTTACCGATCGGTTCAACCGAGTGTGATTATCAATTTGGTTATAAGATCCGTGACGTCACGAATCAGCTGTTATATGTTATTGTTATCACCGCAAAATTGTGGTATTTACCCAACTCAAGAGTAGTTTTATATTTCTGGTTATTATTTGAAATGTGACAAGTTGGAATTTTGCCAGGTATTGGATATTGTTATTGTACTTCAGCTTGATTTTTGAGGAAAATGATACAGTCTGACTTCAGTTTTACCATAAAGTGGAGCACCTTATTAGTTATACTCATTACGGTTGTTGGGGACACTAAATGTAGTTCCTATGCTTAACAAAGAATCCTGTGTAGCCATATACCACAAGAATATTAAAATATGGCCATATAAACTCACTACATGATATCCACCTGTATACGGTTTTGCTAATTTCTTTTTTCATCATTTCTGCTGAATCAATAAATGTTTTCTTTGACATGCGGAAAAATTAAGAGGCCATGGTTCCATCATTAAAAAAAAAATCTGAAAAACATTTCTTTCATGAATATTATGAAAGGTTTCTTATTTAAACTTTCCATATACAGTTGTAGACGAAAAAGCACCGATTATTAAGTGATAATAAAAATAATCAGAGATTATATACGCGCTTTTCTAAAATAAACAAATTGCAACAAAACCGCGGTTAAAACCAACGCGTTCAAGCGATTCGTGTAACTGACGTCATCAACCCATGTGTCATCTTGAACCATATTATAACCGCGGCACATACACACAGAAATTATGGTTATTCGCTTGGATTTGATTATGTACACTGAAGAAGATTTAATTCCATGCTATTCAATGTCAACACGCAACACGGTGACTTGTGTGGTTGTCAGCGGTCATTTTTTGAGGGGTGCAACACGGTTACTAGATTGTGCATTAATACCTCGCAACGTTGCCAGCTCCACGAATAAATCTGAGATTGCTATACTTTTTTATATAGAAATTTAGTGGTATATAGGAGACCTAACAGAATGTGGTATTAATATTTTGCGCTATTTTGACGAATAAGTGCTTTTTGTATATTAAAATAGCAACGTCAATAATACAAGCTGTTATAATCTCACTCATATCTAGTTACCAATCTGGAAAGGTTCAGAAGAAAAACATACTGCATCTCTGTTATCTGAAATCATCTGTTATCTTTTATCTGTTACCACCTGTTACCTGTTATCCGTTACCACCTGTTACATGTTTTCTGTTATCTTCCATATAGCATTGAAAATATCCTGAATAAAATTGTGTAACAGACTCAGATTTATGTGAGATGTCGGCAACGTCGCATGTGTTGTTGTTAATACTGTACATGACGGTATAAAATCTTCTATGTAGCATTAATGCTCTCTATAAAATTGTATCACAGACTTAGATTTATATGAGGAGCCAGCAACGTCACGTATGTTTGGCAATCATGTGATGTGAAAAAAATGACGCTAGACGCTGACATAAATCTGCCGTGTCTATGGATAGCACTGGACTATACCGTCTTCAGTGTATTATCAAATTCAAGCGAATAACCAAAATTTCTGTGTTATGTGCCGCGGTTATATTATGGTTCAAGATGACACACGGGTTGATGACGTCAGTTACACGCTCGCTTGAACGCGTTGGTTTTAACCGCGGTTTTGTTGCAAGTTGTTTATTTTAGAAAAGCGCGTATATAATCTCTGATTATTTTTATTATCACTTCATAATCGGTGCTTTTTCGTCTATAACAGCTAATTCGTGACGTCACGGATCTTATAACCAAACTGATAACTACACTCGGTTGAACGGATTGGTAAACACCAACCCAAAATGGTAAATACCATTTCCATTTGGTTATTCGCTTGAATTTGATTCATATGTTTTCTGTTTTGTAATGTCAATGTCATTGTCATAGGTAATTTTTTCTAACCTGGAAAATAAAATGTAATACTGTTTTCTTTAAAATTAAAATTCAATAATTCCCTATTGTGATAATGAACATAATGAAAAGAAAAATTAAGATTCTGAAAGTTAATTCCTAAATATCATAGTAAGGAAATCCGTAAAACTAAAAAAAGTAAACATAAACACCTTGAGAAAACTTCTTCCGTATCAAGTGGTTAAAGTGGAGTTTTAAAACAATTTTTGTTGAAAATAAGGCCGTTAGTTTACAAGCAGGTATGTAACTAAGCGATCCGCTAATGTGTGG